CTAGTGGGAGGCCCAAGATCATCTCGAGCTACAGCTAGTACTGTTCCATCCTTGATGTGGTAAGGATCAGGAGGGCATACGCAGTATAGAGCGTAGTCCTTGATTAGAGCGCTATCGTGCAGCCTCACCGCATGGAAAAGGCGACACAGTGAGCACGACGACAGCTCAGCTTCTACCCCGAGTTCCCCAAGAGTCATCAGTCTTTTGATGCGTCGTCCCGCTAGATCGACGAAAAGGCTCTCGACATCAATGGACGAACATCTGGAACAAAGGCTAATCGATTCTTGACACATTGTTTCATCACGAGTTTTGGACGTGTTTCCATCGCTCTGACAGGTGGCAGCCGGTAGGTCCACAGATCGTTTTCGTTTCCTCGAAGTACCGGTATAATCGGATGCATTTAGAGCTCGTGCTCTCTCCATGTCGTGATGGGACCTTTGGAGGACGATTGGGATGAAAGATGGACGGCAGGTGGTACCTGTCTCGTTAACTTCACGGCGCTAGAGTAACGACATACGGCGACTGTGGGATGGACTTACCTGTTATTCATTTCCTTGCCTGGTCCGCTATTGCCAGTGAAGGGATGTGGATGTTGAGAAGTGCGGGGTGAAAGTGCACTCAAGGCTGCTGCCTGCTGGATACCTCCAGGGCTGCGCCTGCCAGCTGGTAAGCGAAGTTTAAGTAAGCACATGCACGCTGCAGTCTCTTGCTTAGGCAACTGCTGTGATTACTGTGATTACTTCTACAACTACTTCTACAACTATTCCTATAAGTCATACTCTTACAACAACCTGTCTCTACACCAAATCCAGTATAGCAGTCAGCTCACCAGACACTGTGGCATGAATAGCATGGCTTTGCAAAGTCGGACTTGCTGGGTGAGTGTCTTTGTCTAAACGGGCAGTCGCAAAGTCGCACTTGCTAGGTGAGCCACTTTGTCTAAACGGGCAGTCGCGATACTTTCGCGACCTTGTCATAAAAATGCGATGACTGCACTTCCGACTCTTCAACAGCGAACTCTGGAACGAGACGGGCATGCAATCCAAATTCGTCGGGTCGACGTTGACAATGCGGTGAGTGTGTCGATGCAAACTCTAGATGGTCAGGTAGTAACTTCGAAACTTCGAAACTTCGGCGACGATGACGTATGTAACCAGATGTGGACGGTGAGGCTCTGTTGTGACAAGATGTAACAAGGATAAACGCTGTGCGACAGGAAATGACAACAGGAACTAAAAAAGACACGATGAGCGGTGTGGGTGGTTGGTGAGAAGCGGTGACGGACTTTACAAACATTAGGCATACAGGCAAAATGGTGAACAGGGATATCTCGGCTTCGATTTTGATCTATTCTAGTCGATAGCCGCGCCTTACAAACAAGGTCATTGTCGCCTGGGGGGGGATGGAAATATTTTGAACTATCCTAGGTGTTGTGGGCGAGATGAGGTGGAAGGGAGGGTATGATTGTAGGGGTTGTGTTGATTGAGTAGTGAAACTAAATGGGCTGAGCGGGATGGGGGGTTGTAGTGGAACGCTAAAAATGCCGGTACTAGAAGTCATGTCTTTCTTTTGTAGACAGACGAAACGAAGAGGAAGGAGATGGGCTATATAGTAATAACATAAGACATTCGGCATCATCGTGTCGCATTATCATGAAGAAGGGGATTTGACGGACCAAAAAAAGCAAAGACAAATTTGTTGGAATCAGGGAAGATGGAAAAGGAACGCTGGAATCATAACAAACAAACAAACAAACTTTGCGGTTCCCCGGCTATTGGGGTTGCGCGGCTCCGTCTTTTACCATTCGCTTCCGAAAGGCTTTGGCTTTGCTCGCTTGGTTCTTGCTCGCTTGTGCATCCAGATGACTTGCGGCGGTGAAGGCTTCGACGACGGCCATGGCGTTGGCCTCTTCTTCCTCGTTGAATGTGATGAGGTCGAGGAACTGGCGGAGGACAATGGAGCCGAGCTTGGCGTGGGCTTGCTCGACGTAGTCAGTGTTGACGGTGTCGGCGGATGTGCGCGCGAGGACGCTCCAGCCGTCGGGCTTGAGGGATGCTTGTCGTGCTAGCAGGCGCTCACTTGACGCCAACAGGATGAAGGCCCTTATTACCGCTTCCTTGTTTGTGATGTTGTTCTCGGGCGATACGTCGAGCACCTCTAGGAAGTCGTCGAGGGATGCGGTGCCGATGAATGTGTGGCGGTGCTTGTACTCCAAGTCCCGCTCTTGCTGGATAGCCGAGGTGGGCCCGGTCTTCTTTGGCAGCTTCTTGGGGGTTGATGGGTGGAGGGAGCGGGTGGTCGGGCTGTGGTGGCGGGGGTTCTGGTCCTGCGCGTTGGCGGCTTTGATGGGGAGGCCGAGGGAGATGCGGCGTTGGTGTGTGTTGGCGGGGCGCTGCGGCTTGGAGGTGTTGGCTTGGAGTTGGAGCAGGCCTTCGTTGGTCTTGGCTCGGAGGGGGAGGGACCGCGATGCCCGTTGCGCACTGGCGAGGCGTGATTCGATGGTGGGGGTGGAGGGTGTGCGGAGGTGGGAGGGGCGGCGCTTGGTGACGGATACAGCTTCCTCGCTGTCGCCTTTGAGGGACGGCGACTTGGCGAGGTCGTCGTAGGCAAAGTAGTCGGGCGGGCCGTCTTCCTTTATTCGATCCAGCGAGTAGAGGAGCGGCTCTTCGAAGAGGGTGGCGTCGGTGGAGAGGCCCAGGGCATCGGCCGGGTCAATCGCTCGTGTGCGCGGGCTGGCGCGGGGACTGGCAAACTTCAGGCCGTTGACCTCCGGCGGCATGACCCAGTGCTGGACGCCCTGCTGTTGTCGCATCTCGTGCTTGAGCTTGCCCTCGAGGGCGCTCTCCGTGTCGCTCGCCATGGAGAAGCGGCGCGAAGGTGATCGTGAAGGCGTGCCGGGCTGTTGTTGTGTGTCGTACCCCGCATTGCGCAAGGCGTTGAGGATGGAGCTGTCCCCGCGGTCGAGGTAGAGGAGGCCGGTTCTCCACATGGTCGTGGTCGTCGATGAGGGTTCCTGCTGTGTACGAGTAGCCGACGCAACAGTCACCCTCTAGAGTCTTGTCAGACGCGGACAGGGAGGCGCGATGTGCCGCTGCCCTAGCTTTAGTACTTGTTGACAGCATGCGGGTGATCGAGCTGGCCGGCGCTAGCACCCGCTTCACCGCCATTTTTCTCAATTTGGGACTCCGGTTGAAAAGTCTGTCGCTGCCGTGCCTCTTGCCCCGACGCGGTCTAATGCATGCATCACGATGCAGCAAGCCTTTTTTCACGTCGCGCCGCCCAATCACTTTCTTCCTGTCATCGACTTTCGTTGGGCGCTGATTTGCTGTGCAGCCTCAAACATTCCTACACCCTGTACCTGCATCCGATCAGCAGGTTTGAGTGTAGCGTACGTACCCCCAACCATCCCGTATCATCCCGGCAACGGACGAAAGCGTCGAGATCGTGTCCTGCGCGGCTGGCGTGATCGCGAAGCATTCGACGGCATGACGTGGTAGTGGAGTCGACGTGCTAGCTCCACTCCCGCAAGGCTGAATATATATCTCCAGAGCGTGGCATGGTCGAGATAGCCGCGGGTGGCATGCACGTTTTGCTGCACTGCCTGCAGCTGCCAGCGCAAAGGGTACTGTCGGCCGTCGGAGTGTGTTCGGACGTGTTGAGGTTCAACAGAAGGCGGGGCGGGGTAAACCGCGACGCTAACATCACGTTTGATCAACATTTCATGTTTCAAGGCGGATATCGGAGCGGAGAGAAGACGACCGAAGTCAGCAGAAGGTCCAGTCACGCGTGCAGCGAGGAGGGATGAGGGTGTGAACGCAGCGCATGTGCAGCCCGTGTGATAAGCAGAGGCAGTCTACTATCCAACCTCCCACCACATGGGGGCTACATCCTGCACATGAGAGTACATGCTGCACATGGGCAGAGCAGCTGGTGAACGGTACCAGGTTTTTCAGTGCAGTGTGCCAACCTCTCATCAGTGAGGGGTGCTAAAATCTGCTGGTGTAGTGTTGGTACAGTGGAGTCCAATCACTACTGGCGGGCTTCGCGCGATAAGACGACACGCACCGCACAACACCATCACTGTTCTCGGCCCTGGCTAGTGTACCTAACAATAAACCTTCTGGATTGTCTTCTGGCCTGTCCTGTTCGTCTCACAGGACTCGACCCCGCAGTGACACAGCTTCGGTTCGCTCGTTTCATGGCCAGCAGTTCGACACCCTGGCCCTCCCACCGTGAGGGTGCCACTATGAGGACGCCGCCATGAGGGTGCTGACAGCGCGCTCTGCACGAGCGATCAAAACACGTCCCTCTCCACTCCACCAATGCACGCAAACCCACCTCCCCACGCCCTCACCGAATCGCATGGTGACGCGTGCCATGCGTGGAGCTCACTTGGCCCTACGTGGAGTCTCGTTTGGTGAAAGCACACCGCTCGGCGATACTACGACTCCGCTTCTCACGCGTGACGTGTTGTTTATGCGCGTCGAGTGGGCAACAACACAGAACTTTCTTTTCCACTCCTCGCAATCACCACAACACATAAGCGGCGGATGTCTGCGAGTAAAGCGTCTGGAGGGCGTCTGGGTCGAACCGACTTTGATGTCATTCCCATGGTTTGGGAGGGCGTTGTGCAGTGTGGAAGCCATGCAGCGTCAACGGCCCGCACCCGCTAGCGAGCCATGTTTTCTTGGCGTAAACAAAGCTGGACCGCCGAGGAGCGCCCTCCGCAGCCGAATTATTATGAGGCCATTGGCACGCCGTAGATAGTTTGCAACCGTGTTCACAAACCCAATTGCCCTCTGCACAAAGCAAAACTTGATCTCCGCCGCACCCCACCTACACCGCCCCGCTGCCGTTCGCTCCATCTCGAGTCAGTGGAGCTGATGTTTTCTTGCACTGCCTCGCCCGACGACCTCCGCCGGTAGCAATTTCAGCTTCAATCTCCCCACGCAACGATCCCATAGCACCCAGACTCGTCGCCCTCGTGGGCCTACCCAACCATGGACGACGGTCCTCCACCTCCGCCGCCTCCGCATGGCGCAAACCCAAAGACTACAGGCGGCAGCCATGCACCTCCCGACCCCGGCCCAAGCGGCGGCCTGCCACCGGGCAACTATGACATCTTCATCATACCGCCGCACTCTTCAGGAGGTGGCTTCATATACCTACCCAGCATGGGCGTGCAGCAGAACAGCTTCATCGCGGGTGTGCTCAGCACCATCGCGAGCATCGTGCTCTGGAAGGCCGCCGAGCCTTACATGAAGCAATACTTTCTCATCGTCCGACATGGAGTCACGACTGGCGGCAATGGCGTCATACTGCTTGCGGTACTGATGTTGGTTGCCGGATGGGCAGTTGGTCAGACACAAGCAGGGGGTCGCTTTAGCAGTGGCGGAGGGGGCTATGGCCGTGGTGGAGCTGGAGCTGGAGCTGGCACACATACACCGGGCGGAAGCTCAAGCTATCAACGAGCGCCTCCACCACCGCCTCCAAATGGTGGCTTCCCCGGCAGTCCTCCACCTCACGGCGGATGGGGTGGATACCGCCAGTACGGGGCTGGCTCGCCGCCACCACCACCTCAAGACGACGAACCTTCCTTCGACGAAGAGGCCGAGCGAGCCGAAGAGGAGCGCAAACAAGCAGAGGAGAAGGAGAAGCGGCGGAAAGAGAAGGAGGAAAAGAAACGGAAAGAGGACGAGGAACGCAAACAGAAGGAGGAAGAGCGCAAGAAAGCTGAGGAAGCCAAAAAGAAGCAGGAAGAGGAAGAAGCCGAACGCAAGCGCGCCGAAGAGGCAGAGGAGAAGAAGAAACAGGAAGAGGAGCTTAGGAAGAAACAAGAGGCGGATCTCAAGAAGAAGCTCAAGAAGGAGCTCAAGGAGGCCGAGGAAGCTAAGCGGAGGGAGGAAGAGGAAGAACGCAAGCGTGCTGAAGAAGCCAAACGACAAGCTGAAGAGGAAGCTCGGCAGAAGCGTGAAGCTGAAGAGCAGAGGCTAGCTGAAGAAGAGAGGAAGAAGCGTGAGGCTGAGGCACAGAGACTTGCCGAAGAGGAGAAGAAACGGCAAGAAGAAGCTGAGCGCCAACGCATCGCCGAAGAGGAACGCAAGGCCGAAGAAGAGCGCAAACTCGCTGAAGAGGCTCGGATACGCGCTGAAGAGGAGAAAAAGAAGAAGGACGAGGAGGACCGCAGACGAGCCTGGGAAGAACTCAAGCGCGCAGAAGAGGCCCGACAGAAGAAGGAGGCTGAAGAAAAGGCCAAAGCAGAGGCAGCCAAAGCCGCCAAAGCCAAAGCCGAAAAGGAGAAGTGGGAGCAGATGCGCAAGCGTGAGCGCGAGCAACGCGAACGTGAAGCTCGCGAGCGTCTCGCTAAAGAGAAAGCCCGCAAGGCACAAGAAGCCATTGAGAAAGAGAAGGCCGAACGAGAAGCTCGCGAGGCTGAGGTGCGTGCAGCAGTCGAGAAGGAGATCCGCGAGAAGCTCGAAGCGGAACAACGCGCTAAAGCCGCCGAGGAGGCTGCAAGAAAGGCTGAGGCAGAGAAGATCGCAGCCGAAGAGGCAGCCGCCAAAGCGAAGGCAGAAGCGGAGGCTGCTCTCGCGAAAGCGAAGACAGATGCTGAGCGTGCCGAACGTCTCAAAGCAGCTCGTGAGCGAGCTCAGAAAGACCGTGAAGCCCGTGAAGCAAAGCTCAAAGCAGAAGCCGAACGCATCAAGGCCGAAGCCGCTACCGCAGCAGCCACAGCCGCAGTTCCTGACCTCACTGCCCGTCGCTCAACTACGTATGGTAATGTTGGTGGAGGTGAACGTCTCGATCCATATGCTGGAGCAAGAAATACACCACCACCTGCTGCGTCCGTTACTTCCACACACTCCTCACCTATCAAAGCAACCGTCACACCCAAGAAACCCTACGAACGCCCCACAGCCGCATCATATCTCGGTTCCGAATCCGACGCCGCGTCGTTCGTTCCGCCCCGAACAGCCACGGGACCTGCCCGCAGCACGGCAACACGTTCCCATGTCTCAAGCGCTTACTCTGAGTCTTCCTATGCCCCGTCACAATCTACAACTCGCACATCGCCGCCTGCGTCGAGAAGTGGACCGTATGCGACAGCCGACCCGAACAAGATCGTTATCAAAGCGGTATATCTTTTCAACGACCTCTTTCCCAAACCAGTTGCGCAGTTGGTGTCAAATGTGGGCAAAGTAACAGACGGCTTGATCCTCAAAATACAAAGTGAGGGCTTATTCATCGACGATGATGTCCGGGGCATTCCGCAGCGCGAGTGGGATGTCAAGGCTTGGACTTTGAAGATGGTCGAGGTATGTCACTTCCCTGTTATCCATCACCTTTCTTTATTTGTATCCAACCGGTTTGTCATGGTATCGTACTAACAGATATGACAGACGGGCAAACAGCCCACCAAAAACCTCCACATCCTCCGCGCCTCGGTCCGCGATGCCGACGGCAAGAAATACGTCTTCCTCATTGACGAAACTGAGAGCTGGAAACTGGCTCTTGGACTGCAGAGACTGAGGAAGGGAAGTCAGGTGAGGAGTTTGCAGAGCGCGCAGATGGCGCCGAATGAGATGGCGAGGGTGTTGAATGCTGTGCCGCCTATTGCTTTGTAAATGCCGAAAGAGGGGGGTAGTGTTGATACGATGGCATGGTACAGTAGTATGGGTGGTGGATTTGGATACCCACTTTCGTTCCGCGTAAAGCATCAGCGGTGGAGTTGTTGTTGTTGTTGTTGTTTGTTTAGCAACGCATTGTTACGAGCGCATCTTTGTACCCTTCTTTCTTTCGTTGTACATGCATCTTTGGTGGAAAGGAAAATAAGAGAGATAAGGAGGAAGTATATATCACAATTACATATTGGCGCTGGGGAGGTGGTCGTAGATAGGTGTTTGGGGTGTATGTAGGATGGTGAAATGGATGCATGGCATGTGATGTGATCTCGTAGCTCGCATGTTTATGACTATCGCTGTCATGTCCTGATTTCTAGTTACTTGCTGTGTCGTGGAAGGGGAGTTATCTGTATCAACGCCCGCTGTGAAACGGGCGCCATCAGACACATGGCTTTTGCTACATCCCCCACGAAAGCCTCTAGATCATGTCTGAATGACTATGTTACTTTAAAGAACTACAAAAACAGATACATACAACTATAGGATCATGAAAATTAGTTCTCCCTCGCGATGCGTCAAGTCTCGCGAGGCAATGTTGAGGTCGATTAACTGGTGTTCCTCTTTGATTACTCTTTTGGTCAATGCGACCTACTACCACAGCCCCAAATGATCTTTAACGGTCATTTGTTATCCCGGAATCAGTTTTTTGGTAGCGCCCACTGTGCTTGAAGCGCGCTATTCTAAACATAGCTGTCGCCACCTTAGGTGCTTGTTTCAACTTCTTTCCTTTTACCTTGTCTCTTTTATTTCTTTAATAGTTATTGAGTAATTATTTCAAATTGTCCTGCTTACTATAGCACTTGAGAAGGCAAGCAAAGTGCGTCTTTCGCACCTGCGCCCTCTCATTCAGGAACATATGGGCTGTGCGGGATTTAGGACCTGATAGGCTATCTAAGGAGGGAATGTGCAGGTCGCACGGGACACAATGCCGTGAGGCCGAGTGTTGATTCAGTATCCCGCCCGAGATTGTGAGTCAAGCGGGCGTCTAGAGAAGAGCTCACGTAGGCCGCACAGGATGAAGTCGTGTAGGGCCTACCTAGGTAATGCTGCATCAGGTTTACAGATACAGTAGCGAGGTAACCCGCAAGGGACTAAAAGTTAAGCGGGCATCTCGAGGAGCCATACACCTGGGCAGACACCAGTAGCGCAGCATCTCTTGCAAGATGCTGAGTTAACGAGCTCATGAAAGGGGATGTGTGGACCATGCGGGATCGCTGAACCAGAATACAGACGATGGTGCATCATTGCGTGCCGGCTTTCTCCCGTCGGTGCTTTTCTTTGCTTATCCTTTTTGCAGCTATGAACTTGCTGCGCCGTAATCTCAGCCGCAGCCGTCAAAAGTGGGTCCATCTGACAGGCTTCTTTCCAGGTCCTAGGCCACTCAACGGCACTTCCCCGATATGCGCCACTAATATTCCTTTCGGTCGATAGCGGCGCGGCTGCTCCATAGTTTAAAGCCGCAAGAGCCAAGCACATTCCCCCACAGCGTCTTCATACCTTCAAAACAATAAGTGTTGTCTGGTCCAGCAGCGATCCAGCTGACTACCTAGGTTGGCATCGTCTTCTCCGTGAATCGACCCATGGTATCGAAATGGCATTCTACTATGGTTTCATGGTAATCCTGCCTTGGCATGCTATATGTCTCGGACGTAAGGGGGCGTCTTGCATCCAACAGGTGTGGACAAAAGGGTATAAGAGCTTCTACATGACTCTTGATCTACCTTGTCCCCTTTAACAAATCCAATCGCTATCCGCTCCATTTACTTCCTTTCAGTCCTTATTTTATACTCACTATTCCCTCTGTGCGAAGTGGAACCAGAATGGAAAGTCACAACGCGAAGCCGTCACCTCCGTTACGAGTCGGATCTGCAAGCTCACGGCCACACTCTGGATCACGGCCATCATCTTCGCCCGTATCACAGGGAAGCGATCTTGACGAATCAACATCAATCCATGAAATATACGAGGGAGGTCGAAAGTCGAGCTGCTCGGCTGCTGCAACTCAAAGAACAGATTTCCCGCATAACGACCAAGCTCAAATCTGCAAAGAACAAGAGCAATGGACGGCAAATATACACAAGACACAAAGTTGTGCAAGCGACGACACTATCACCGTCGTCCAGCCTCAGAACCTGCTCGTGGTCGGCACCTGGCGAGACACGGAGGACGCCCGTGACGAAGAGCACGGTCATGCACAAGGCGAGTCCTCCGATCGCACGCCTTTGATTGGCACTGGCCCGAGCGAATACGGTACCACTTCATTGGGCGTAAGTTCACCGAAAGACGCTGCTATAGCCACTGGGGAAGTACATACTAGGTGGCAGACCGAGGCCAAACTGCTCGGGAGATACTCTAGATCGCTTATAGCGACATTCTTGCTACAGTATTCCTTACTTGTCACTAGTGTCTTCGCGGTGGGGCACCTAGGCAAGGCGGAGCTTGCTGCGGTGAGCCTTGCAACTAGTACGTCCGCTCTCGTGGCATCATTCACTCTCCCGTCAGAACTAACGAACATTTCAGTGACTGCAAACATTACTGGGTATGCAGTATATCAAGGTCTTGCAACGAGTCTCGACACTCTTGCAGCACAGGCGTACGGGTCGGGGAGGAAGAAGCTTGTAGGACTTCAGTTGCAGCGGATGACATACTTCCTCTGGGCCATCACCATTCCAATAATCGCCATCTGGGCGTGTAGCACCATGATCCTCGAAGCGATCGTTCCTGACAGGAAGACCGCACAACTCGCTGGAACATATCTCCGCATACTAACGCTCGGAGCACCGGGCTACGCTGCCTTTGAGAGTGGAAAGAGGTTTGTGCAAGCCCAGGGACTCTTCTCCGCAACATTTTATTGCCTGCTCGTATGCGCTCCGCTCAACGCAGCAATGAACTATCTGTTCGTGTGGGTAAGGAATTTCTGCTCTGCCCTAATGGCTTGGATCCGCGTGCTAATCTTGCGGCATCCTAGTATCTCGAATGGGGCTTTGTTGGCGCTCCAATCGCAATCTCAATCACCCAGACACTACTCCCTCTCTCTTTGTTCTGCTATGTTTACTGCATCAAGGGTCGCGAGTGCTGGGGCGGCCTCGACCGTCGGGCGTTCCACAACTGGAGGCCGATGATAGGACTAGCTATACCCGGATTGGTTGCATTTCTTGCAGGTGAGTGGTAGAAGATAAGGCAGAGTGCGAAGGTGAACTTCTGTTCTAACAAACACTTCTTGCAGAATTTCTCGCTTTCGAGATTTTGACGTTGGCCGCAGCCCGACTCGGCACTACGGCATTGGCAGCTCAGTCCATTCTGACAACAGTGATGGCCATCACGTTTCAGCTTCCGTTCCCAATCGCGATTGGCGCGAGCACTCGCATCGCCAACCTTATAGGCTGCGGGCTTCCAGATGCGGCGAAGGTCACTGCGATGGTCGCTATGGTTGCAGCTACAGTTGTTGGTCTACTGAACACGACGTTGCTTGCTAGTCTCACCAGCTTCATTCCCTCGCTGTTCACACAAGACGTAGAGGTTTTAGATGCTGCTGCGAAAGCACTGCCTGTATGTGCTGTCTTACAGATCTTTGACGCACTGGCGTCGAATCTCAACGGCATCTTACGTGGACTTGGGAGACAAGCAATTGGTGGTTACGTCGGGCTCATAGCGTTCTACATCGTTGGGCTCCCAATCTCGTTTGGGATGGGATTCGGACTCGAATTGGGATTGCCTGGCCTTTGGGCAGGGCCAGTAATTGGGCTTGCTGTCGTGTCCGTCGTTGAGGCAGGGTTCATCTGGTGTACGAGCTGGCAGCGTGCATGCGAGGACGCAACACAGAGAGATTTGCAAGAAGGTTTCGTTGACGAGTAGACTAAGATCCAGCAGTAATTTCCAAGGTTGTCTCGCTGGGAAATCTTCACCTTGTAATGCATAATCATTGCCCGAGTTCTCCACTTCCACGCGCCCGAATCACAAGTTTGCCCGACCAAGGCGACAATTGATTCCGAACGTGGGAATGCAATCGTTGGCTTTTCATCAGGTGCAGACGTATAGGCGCACAATGTTAATGTTTATCGCTCGCACACTGTTATTAGCAGTGCACTTCACGATCGTACCTAGCCGCCAAACTCCCCGACACGTGCCGTTGACGCAGCAAGAGTTCGGGGCTGATTGGAAGCGTTTGTTAGCCTCAGTATAACGAAGCTCGATATGCTGACCGCCTGTTGTGTGCATTTGCCAATTTCGACGATAGCGAATATGTTGACGTGTCTTCTATCTCCCTGCGGCGATAGGTACCTTAGCGTGTGTTAATTTCACCAGAAACTATCGTGATACAATCAACTATCCCCGACACCAGCAGCTGCACAAACAGCTTCATGCAAGGGTAAACCATTCCAGAAGCCCTTCGATGTCTCGTTAGAATGCGACCGCGAGTATTCCAGACTAAGACGTGTCCTAATTCAACTAATCTTTTATTCTCCCGCATAGATAATTCCTAAGTTCAGAGCCTAACATTCCATGATCGACCAATCAATCAGTCAATCAATCCATCTTCGTGGTCATTGTTTCCTTCGCGACTAGCTAACAAGTCTGGCTAGCCACAAATTGTCTCACAGCATGGGAAACGAGCCATTGGGTGTTTTCGTCAAGATACGGATGAAAAGGTATGCTCAAGACCTCAGATGTTGCTTCCTCCGCGACGGGACATCCACCTTCGATGGTCGGGTACTTCTCATAAGGCGCAAGCTTGTGCAGTGGATCCGGATAATGGGGGATGCTGTCGATGCCTACGCTCTTCAAGTGCTCTTGCAAGGCAGCTCGATTCTTCAGGCGTATGGTGTATGTGGCCCAAGCATGGCAGACATTCGTCTCCGGGGGCGGCGGATGTGGCGTGCGCACTATTCCCTTGAGGAAAGATGCGTACCGTGCTGCAACAATCTGGCGATTTTCCAGCTCCTTCGGAAAGACCTCCAGTTTTTCGAGCAGAATCGCCGCTTGAATAGTGTCCAGGCGGCTATTCATGCCGAGACGTACACAATGGTATCTGTGGTCACCCTGGCCATGCTGATGGATGGACCGCAGCTTTGCAGCAAGCTCTGCATCAGAAGTAAAGATGGCGCCTCCATCCCCGTAGCCACCTAGTGGTTTGGCTGGGAAGAAGCTCGTGGTCGTCATGCATGCAAGAGATCCAACACGTTTGCCTGCAACACTGGCACCGAAGCTCTGTGCCCCATCAGCTATCAGCCAGAGACCCAGATCTGAGCTGATAGAATGCAAGCGAGTATAGTCGGCCGGGCGGCCGAAGAGATCGACCGTGATCATCCCAACAGGTCGACAGCCGGCTTTCCTGGCAGCTTCGACGCCTTTTGCAATGAGATCCGGGTTAATGCACAAGCTGACAGGATCGATATCCACAAAGATGGGGGTCGCTCCAAGAAGGACTATGGGCTCTGCAGTGGCGACAAAAGTGAAGGCAGGAACCAGGACGGCATCGCCAGGAAGTAAACCAATGGCGAGAAGGGCCAGAAGCAGGGCGTCAGTGCCGCTAGAGCAGGTAATCACATGTTCGCAGCCCGTGTACGATGCGAGCTTTTGCTCCAATTCTTTAATCTCGCGGCCCCATACATACTGTCCCTCGTGCAACACATTCGCGATCCTCTCGTCAAGCTTGGCCTTGATAAGCCTTTGCTGGACTTTCAGGTCGACCATGGGAATCTTTTGAGCCAGAGACTTGGTTGGCATTCCCGTTTGATCACGCATTGCGTTTGTGGCTGCCTCAAGGACATTGATAACCGAAAGACCCTCGCGCACATCAGTGATCGGGCGGCGAGCTGTGCGGACACACTCTACGAAGTGCTTGATTTGCTCCATCAAAGGTTCTCTTTCTTCGACAGATATCGCTTCGGAGCAACCTTGGTTGAAAGTCGGACATCCTTTCTTCCAGGTCAAGGTATTCTCGAAGTATCTCAGCTTGCTGGCCCAAGGTTGGTCATCATCAAAGACCAGAGTACCCTTATCACCCGTGACAACGAGACTGCGATGCTTGTAGGGATGAGCCCACGAGACGGCGATCTCGGCTTCCAGATTGTCCGCAAACGTGAGCCGACAGTTGACCGTGTCAGCAATGCCTGCACGCAAGAAGGAACTTCCATGAGCCCGCACAGACTCTGGTTGTTGACCCGTCAGTCCAAGAATCATGGAGATGTCGTGCGGAGCCAAACACCAGAGCGCATCCTCATCTTGTCGAATACGTCCAGGTCCGAATCGAGCTGACCGAATGAAGCGCACTCGGCCAAGTTGACCTTGCTGCACACGCGACTTGAGGGCGAGGAAAGCAGGATGGTACTGGAGGATGTGGCCAACCATAAAGGTGCTTGCAGATCGAGAGACGAGAGCCGCCACTGCTTCCGCATCAGATGAAGATAGCGCGAGAGGTTTCTCAACGTAGACGTGCTTCCCAGCGCGTATGGCTTGCTCGATCATGTTGGCATGGTCCTTCGCGGGTGTCACAATCGCAACGGCCGTGATGGAGTGGTCTTCCAAGATAGAAGGCCAATCCATGGCTGGGACGTGGTGATCTTGTGCGATCTTGTTGGCCTGTTCGACGTCGGCATCTGACACGGCAGCCAGAGCGTTCATCCGAGCAAAAGCAGAGACGACTTTGACTCCCCATTGACCACAGCCCACCACGGCAGTATTGATGGGTTTTTCGATGGCCATTGTGCGTTTCGATCGGTTGCAGAAGTTGTGTGCAGAAGTTGAAATGAGGAATGTGTGATGTCTGTCGCGAGGAATGTAGCACTAGTGCTGAAACAAAATAGATAGGCTGAAAACGATGGTATATCCTTGAGGAAGGCAAGGATTGGATGTATTGATTCTTGTACGATCGAAGACCGAAAGAGAATTGCAGGAAGACGTAATCTGGGATTGAAGGCTGCAATGCAAGACGCAAGCAAACTGATTGATATGATTTGGATGGAGAAGATGAACATCACCGGTACCTATATACTTCCCAATCTTCCAAGAGTAGACAGCTGTCCTTGGGAGGTTGATCCGCTTCCGAGCATGCCCGCTGTACATTGGCTGTCGAGATTTGTTTTTCATCTTACTACCGAGGAATCTCCACATTTGTCAGCCTGACACTAGTCCATCTATCTAATGGGAGCAGGCTACGACTGATTGAAGGGTCTGGAGAAGGACGTCTGCCGAAAAAAAGCAACTGCGATGGTGTTGGGCAATAAAAAACTTGCGGTAAGAACCCATGTCTGTTGCAAAAGAGTCAATCCAACCAATGAAATATACCTTTTCACCGATGTCCCCCCCCGAAATCGGGGTGACAAGTTCGCTTTCGTGAGATTCGGACTGCGGACAAAGCCGGGTTGCCAACACCTGTACAGCTCGACGGCACAAACCTGCAGCTGGAAAAGCAACCGAGTGGAGGACAACACCAACTCTAAGCTGCGTCTTAGCTTGAGTTCACCCACACCTCTACTGTGGGGGCCGGGACTTCTGTCGCACCTCTACTTGACTACTATAGCTGTGCTCATTTGAACAGGACATGAGGTACTATACTGTGTGCTGTTGGTTGAAATCGCTTCTTTAGGAAAGCTGTCGGATTACTCGAACGAGAGAGTGGACTGTGGCCCCTTTGCTAATGATACCAAGGTAGGGCCTCCCAGTTGCGATATCTCCTGGTCTCTTGTGGAAGACCGCTTGCATTGGAAGGCCCAGCCTACGCAAAGGAGCAACCACCAGAACACCCTCTTCCAGGACTCAGTATGGAGTGCATAAGCTTTTGTGGGGTTGAGCTGGCGAACGTCACACGCTCAGGTCTTGCTTGCGTAGCTTCGGTCTCAACAAGGTCAAAGAGGCCGAAGTGGTGTGCCTCAGTCCCTATGTACGCGATGGCGCAACGCCGAGAAGATGCAGCTTTGGAGAGATCAGTGTCAGCATTGAGCTAGTGCGCATGCACTTGGCTCATGCGTGGTTGGCACTTTATGTCTGCTGACTGCAGGAATTTGACACAATTCCACTGTTTGGGCGTTTAATCTTGCGCTTGAACCAAATCTGCATATGCTCCTGGCACCCTCAGCACTGACGAGTACATGCGTAAGCCACCATGAAAACATCCAGGTCTACAACGAAGACGACGTTGGGGCGAAGGTGTCGCTCGAAACAGGGTAATTGGACGCAGGGCTGCCGGCAGTCTCGAGGGTAGATGACGCCCTCGAGGGTAGATGACGCCCTCGAGGGTAGATGACGTTCTCGAGGGTAGATGACGTTCTCGAGGGGATGAAATTTCACAAGGTTTCTCTGTCAGTATCACGGCGTTCAAACGCATTCCTTTTGCTGCACTCGTGACCAGACGTTTGTATCGGCACGCGCCGTAGCCCCACGAATCATGGTGAGATCTAGCATAGTTAAATGCGATGACTACTCTAAGAGGCTGGACGGGTAAACATGTGCAGCGGTCTGGACCGCACGGCAAGTGGGTCGTACCCAAGCTTACCGCCTGACGAGCTCCACCGTAACAAGCCACACCACCATTACAACACCTTAGCTTCAACATGTGATAACTCCGCTAATACAACTTACAATGCTGTGCTTCTTCGGTATATATATAGAATTATCGTCCTCCGCCTAGACCGACTAATCGGCGTGTTAATACGAGTTATTATCGCAATCGTCTACTATGAAATCGTGATGTTAGATTTAAGAACATTGAGGAGGAAAGAGAAAGCTCAATGTAGCTTCTCTAGTTCAATAATTGGGTTGGGTCGTTCCTAGGGGCATTTGACCCATAGTAACAGGCTCTCTAGACTCCTAAGGGCTTGCCGACGCAAGCGAAAGGAAGCAGTAGACTTCGAATCTGCTGCCTCTCTTAACGACTGGCTGTTCTGGACTTTAGTATGCACTCGGTGAAGAAGCTTAGAAGGCTACTGTAGGCTTCATTCTGTAGAGATACAAGAAAGATATTGAGGGTAAAGAAGAGTATATTGTGATGCTGTAAGAAGCGAATAGATGCTGAAACCGTGGACTGAAGTGTCCAGCTCTGCTGAAGGTGCATAATATACCCTACATTGAGACACAAAGGTGATAAAGTGGGAGTATTAGCCCCACATAACGTGTACTGTTCATCGCATTGAGCGTGTGTCTGTCCAATAAGATAACGAGAACTATTATTCTATAATAAAACACTTGATCTGATTGGCTGCACCGAAGATCGAGGATATATTACAGTACGCTTACTCGTTGCGGAAAGCAACCATTAAAGCTCCTTCCGCCATCCCGAAACTCCACCTGCCCACACGTTCGCTGCAGCCCAACGTCATCAGTCCACCAACCCACCAAACCACCATCTCATCTATCCCCAAATCGCTTTCGTTGTGAACTACACTTATCGCATGCAGACAATGTCGTCCGACTATGGAACCGACCTAGACTCCGACGTCGCAGATGTCGTCGATGATATTGTCCTGTCGCAGCAAGCTCCCCCTTCCTCGCGCAAGTCCCACGACCTGCGCTAAAGCCACTCAATACCAATACTTCTCTCACACCAGCATCATCCCATGAGAAACCAAACGAAATCACCCTCCAGCGATGGCACCAAGCTGCCTCAACGCCGCCGCCCTTGGCCTCATCATCGGATGCCGAACCGTATCGCCTGACATTTGGCAAACACGAGGGCAAGACGCTTGCGGAAATACCAACGTCTTATGTAACGTGGTTGATTAGGAATCCCAATTCGAGTAGGTCGATGGAATTGATATATGCGTTGGAAGAATGGCAGGAGGAGAAGAAGAATGGGCGGAAAGCGCAGTCGCAGTCGCAATCGCAAGCATCGCAGATCTCAATGTCGCAGACACAAGCATCGCAGATGTCGATGTCGTCGCAATCGCAAGCTACATCGTCAAAGACGCCGCTCTCTCCGCCGTCATCTCAAGCCTATCAGACCCCTCCTCCATCGTCGCAGCCTGCGGTCACGAGCACGCATGTCTCTAAATACACCAACCCTCCATCGCCATCTCGTTCGCCGTTACCACCACCTGCCATACAACAGTCATATCCTCCTTCGTCACAGGCCATGGCACCACAGCTTGCGCCGTCGCAAACGTATCCTCCTTCCTCATCACAGCCAACGGCACCTCAAGAACCGACTGGTGCACCCCTATACATACTCCCTTTTGGCGATTTCAAAGGCAAGACTCTGCTCGAGGTACCAGAGGACTTACCTCTACTATCTTCGTGCGAGCGAAGACAAGTTAGCTACTTTGCCTGGTTTGGCTAACGCGCTCGGCTTGATGAAGAAGGGCATGCCTCCAGTCGCTATGGCACCCACGCCGGCCCAGTCATCGTCGCAGGCTCTACCACCGCCATCATCTGCACCTGGCCCGTATATGGCACATGAAACGCCTGCTTCTAGCCAGGTTTCTATGGCGAGTCAACCACAGCAGGCTCCGCCACCACCTTCGACTGCGCCTAGCCATTATTCCCTCTGCAAAGACGACATCCCGAGTAGTTCGCAACCTGCTCCGCAGCCTCCCTCCTCTCAACCTCCATCCCGCAAACAACCATACCGTTTCGACTCCGGCAAGCACGAAGGCGAACCCATCGCCGAAGTCCCTCCCGACTACATGGCCTTCCTGAAAAGCAAGGGGTTCACCGAGACAAACGAGACGCTCGCTGCAGGCGTCGCAGAGTACGAACGCCACCACCCACCCATCGGGACGCCGCACAAGGGAGAATACAAGTTCACGTTTGGCAAGCACGAAGGAAAGACTGGCACAAGTACCTCAATCCTACATTTGGTTTATCAAGAACAAAACGACGATTATGAAGGACAAGCCAGAGGTGGGCGCTGCGATTCGGCAGTTTGAGCGGACTCAAAAACGGACGGAGACTAAGGCTCAAAATCGTGGTCGTCGGAGGGCTTGGTCACCGATGTGCTCATGTTGTGATTGAGCACGCTTATTACAGGAGTGCCTACTACTTGTTTAAAGGAGAAAAATGCACACAAATCGAGGACTCTGGTACTATGGTGGGTAATACAAGCCATTGCGACCGCTTCCAGAAGAACCGGAAACCCAAGATCGCGCATGAGATCAACTCTACATGCAAACACACTCTCGAAGATTACAGCATCTTCTGGCTTACATCTTGTCTGTCAAATTTCTGAACCAGACCGGGCATTGCGCATTCGCGAGTGCGGGTGGCTCCTCCACGCTTGTTCAGAGCGGCACGTCAAAGCGAACAACCAGCAGGCCAAGGCAGGTCCACGGACGACCCATGCTATATCCATACTACGCTGCTGCGCTGCAGGCCGATATGTTAGCGCAAGAATTTCATGCATGATTAGTGGCCGTTGCGACTACCGCCATTATGTCTCGCCATTGTCGTGCGGCACGTCCCTACGTCAACCGTGACATGGGTCTATCACCTGTCTGCTCCCACCCAGGGCAAACCTATGTCGCTGAGACTCTACAACACTCGTGTCAGCTTTTCGATTGCCAAATCCTCCCGTGACCCCATGAGCCGACCCTTGGAAAAACTCTATCCTTGTAGATAAAACTCTACACTGTGCAGATAGTTTATTTGGTCCGTGATATGATGCCTGTGGAGTGGATGGATGTCACAGTTGTCGTTTGTCATCTTAACAGATTCGCGAACGACAGTTATGACGTCCGCTCACTAGTCAGGCATCAAGCCTGGGACCAAGCCGGTGACCAGGTGAAGGGTGTAAGAGGGTTACATGGTTTCTATACAACGAGCTTTGTATGTAAGCTGGAAACAGCAAAGTGTGAGTCGCTCATACCAACAAAATGTCCAGGTTGTGGTCTTCATGCATCTGAAAGCCATACCATCCTTCTTTGCTACGCGCCAGCCACCACCTTATACCATTGGACGCGCTGAACAGGGAGCGCGAGAATGTACACGAGAGGCTGGGCTGGCGCTAGACATTGCGAGGCTAGGCGGCCTGTTGCTCAGCCGCAGCCACCGAGGCGGAGGCGTCTGATCTCCAGCCTTGCGACCCCGCAGATTAAAACCAGCGTCCGCCGGCTTCAAGGCCATAGCGTCTGCTCTCGACTTTTTTTTCCCGGCTCAGAATCTATAGCATGGCTTCTGGTAGCGCGACACCAACGGGACCTTCCACTCTCGACTTCTCTTCTTGGTTCAAGTCCTGTATCACTGCTTTTGGTTGCGCGACAAAAAAGGGATCTAATTCGAACGCATCCCAACAAAACACGAGCAGAATATGTCCAGCCACAGAACGACTTACTGATACCCCTACGATCAAATTCGCGCGGTTCAAGAACGCGACCTTGGAGCTTTTCGAGGCGCCCATTGAATCTACCGATTACATCGCTTTCTCTCACGTTTGGGGCGATTGGGCCTGGCGTTCCATCAGTGGCATACCGTACGATGTGAAAGCGTCGGAAGAGAAGGCAAAGTTCATCGCAAACGATCTTCCTGCTTTGGTGGGCGACGGTGCCTTTTGGATGGACACGTTGACTGTCGATCAACGAAACCCAGTTGAAGTCTCAGAGATCGTGGATGTCATTCCCGATATCTTCAGGATGGCCAGAAAGACGATTGCAGTCAAAGAGTGCGACGGATTGTATGATTGCTGCATTGCTGCGGTTGCTGGCTTCGAAACCGCGGACGAGTTCGCCAGCAGATCTAATGATCACAGCATTGCGCATACTCACTATCTCTGCGCAGAGTCGTACCTCCAGAGATTATGGACGCTGCAGGAGTGCTTACTCTCTCATACGATTGAATTTGTGGTTGGAAGCGACAGTATGTCACAGCATTCTTTTGCTTTTTGCTCGTGGTTGACCAAAATTCAGACCAACCCAAGAAGCTCGCGGTGCGGGAACAGGCTCTCGGCGACAGTGATTTCTATCGACACCAGATGGATGTTGGGACTATCGCGCTGAATCTCAAGAAGCTAGCCTACTCTTTCTGCGGTTCTCAGAGCAACACCCTTATAGACGAGTTCGTGAAAGCTTATGTTCATGGCGGGACCGTTGTTAATCCACGTAGCGCAAAGCGCAGCCAACATGAAGACATCCACTCGGGTGGTTTTCTACTGGCGAATCGAGCATCGCCTAGATCCGCTACTATGCCCTGCGACTACATCTTCGCAACCATGCCATCTTTTCCATGGTATACATATCCGAAGAAAGAGGCTTTGTCGATGTCGTTTGGAGAAATTTATTCAGATCTTTATCAGCAAGCTGAACAATCTGGACATGCTTTTACATGCAGGTTCACTCGATCGATGCTTGATCCCATATGCACAGATCCCACAGACGGTTGGCTACCAAGCCAATATCTTCCCAGTCCGACGACGCTCGGCGATTTCCTGAAACTGATGGGAAATCGCGTACCCAAAGCTTCCAATGCTACTTCACCGCACGTGCACATCACATCGGATGTGCAGATTATGGAACTAGGAAGCGAATGCTTGCCAGACATCCTCATCGCCAGGTTAGAAGCTTGTTTCGAGCAGTCACGAACACCATGGCTTGAGTGTTACACAAGTGGTGAGCTTCCAAAACTCGGGAAATATCCTAGTCATCGTTGGACAGTCAATCACGCTGATGCCGCGAGGTGCGGTTGGGTTCCCATTAACCCAGAGTATGCAGCACAAGTGTACGACGATGGCGATCATACTCGGACGAGAACCGACCCCAGACTAGAATTCGAGGAAGGCGATTGTTTAGTGGACATCAGTCGCCTAGATGAGACTGAGCTAGAGGCCAGCATGGATGAGGCTGGTGAATACGTACCACTCTTTGCGCAAGCCAGGAGAATCCTTGTCCGTATGTGGTTCGCATATGAGGGGCAAAGCCGCCCTGGAGCCCAGCAAGAAGAGTGGGCAAACTTCAAGCGGTCTATGCAAGATCTCTGGTCAACACCACTACTACATACCGTACTCCTCCTAGCTGGTATGGTCAACTGTCGCATCCCATTATCCGCCGCAGCATGGGTCAACAAGCTCTTCATCCCCGTCTACATTCGCCACAACGAAGATCTTCTTTCCGTCGGTCTCTTGGCAAAGCACGCACGTCAGCCTAAGCAACAGCGAAAACACCCTTTTCGTCTACTATGCGTTGGTCAACACCTGCCCTCGCCCCACGAGAAGGCTTTCGGAAGTGACTTGTTTCTCGTAGATTCGGAAACCAAGGTGCCGGTTGGCTTGGCCCCCGATATGTTTCATGAAAGATACAATGATGAGGCATCCGTAAGAGTCGTAATTTCTTTGTATAATGGCTATTCTACGGATTTAGGAGACAACAAAGTAGACATCGGCCCCCGTCTGCTCTCTGATGAGCCGTCTGTTCCTAGAGAGGCTTGTGTCGCGAATCCCTAGTAGGCTATGGAGTGTGGTTGCCGATGACGGGAATGTGTATAGCTGTCGAATAAAACTGAAAAACTCAGAGATACCCTCCTCTGTGTACGATGTGCGGTAGAAAGTCCCGATTAACTCCGATGAATCCAGAGTACTTTTGCGCGCTCTTGAACGCCCTCTGTCCGGGGTTTCTCTACACCCCAACCATTCACTATCATTCCGGAGAAAACATGTTCCGAGCGACTAACTACTCGCGACCGCTCCACGACCGTTTGCTCAACCGCTTCTCACTCAATCGCTCCTCCCTCAACCGCCTCTCACTCACCCCGCAGCTGCAATGTCGGGACCAACCTATACACGTCGTGGAAATTCACTCCTTCCTCGTGGTTATCAACTCTCTGCAAATCAGCCCACTCCAGCACACGGTAAGTGCGCGCCCTTTTCTTACCATCTACACTACCCTTGCTGACTATGCACCCAGAGATGGTAGTTGAGAAACAACATAACTTCATGGGTCCCGCGTCGAACGTGTCTAGTAATCCGTTTCACAAACCGCGCCCTATCGATTCGGAAGCCGCTGAAAAGCTCGAGGCGCAGAAGGCCGACTACGAGGCCAAGCTCGCCGACATGAGGAAGGTGTCCCAGGCCAACTTAGAGAACACCATCAAGGACTAGGAGACCAAGCTCAGCGAAAAGGAGAAACTCCAAGAGATCGAGATCGAACGCGTAAGGGACTTCATCAAGCATGATTGCGTCGAGATAAAGAAGAAATCCGAGATCAAGCTCAACGACCTCGCCGAGAACTACGAGGCCAAGATTGCTCACCTGGAGAGCGAATCGCAGTCCAAGCTTGAGAAAACCATCAAGCACTACGAGGTCTTACTCAGGGAAGAGGAAAAACACGGTGATTGGCTGCTCCAAGAAATGAGGAAGGGCCATGAGACCGAAATCGCCGAGATCAAGGAGAAACACGCACTAGAGTTGAAAGCCGCGCAGGAGGACTACGATGCCGACCTCGGCAGGCTCAATCAGAGCTCCGCAATTCTGCAACGTGCTTTCGCCGACCAGAGCGCGGAACTTGCGGAGCTCAAGGAGACAAAGACTAAGGAAGCCGACCTCCCCAGCAAGTCCGCACAGCCAGACGTGGAAGCGAAAGATGCAGGCCTGCTCCCCGACAAGAAGACGGACGTTAGTGACAAGAAGCCCGAGATCGACGCCCTCAAAGGCACCATCGACGCCCTCAAAGATACCGTCGGTATACAAATGGTGGCTGCGGAAGATCTCCGCGAGACCATCAAGGACCTCCGCGAGCGTGTCGCGAAGCTCGAAGCAGAGCGTTAGAAGTAGTACAACGAGCTGCGACAGGTCGGCGCTGGCACTCTCATGACAACTGGGTAACCCTGGAGATACTCGATGCAGCCACAAGATGTTCGTAGAATATGAAAATGCTGTAACTAATCTCGAGTTCTTTTGACGACACCGTGAATCACGTAAGATCTGATGTACAGCGTGGATGTATCAAGCCGACGCCTAGTCGTAAAGACGCTGCGAAGATTGGTAGACTCCCCTATATATCGACGAAACTGATGGATATGGGACCTCACGTGCGAGTCGCTTGACGTACAGAGTCAGCAGTGACTACTGGTCTCACACAATGGCAGCTAATACCTAAGGACTACATCTTCCTCCTCTACCGCACAACACCAGCAGAAGCATCTCCAAAATTGCGCTAATGTCTCAAACTTGAAGGTGAAAGAGATTCAATTAGCTCCTCGCTTGATCCGCTGCGCACTGTCAGATCCCAGCTTTTCCTGCGTCCGTTTCTCCCTCCACCGACCCCGGGTCACTAGTTTTTCCGCACAGCAAAGCCGCTTGAACTTCCAGCCAAGCCGAGCGACCGCACCAGCCCTACTATACCGCCATCCCGCCTGCGCATCTTCGAGATCTCAGACGAGGTTTCCACAATCACAGTGATCCCCGACACATCCCACTACTTCACCCACGCCAACCGCCTACAATGAACACGATGAACACCACCCCATTACTCAACACGCGTACTCCCGCATTCAACACCATCGCTGCTCGGGTACAAGGCGCGGAAGTGGAAGATGCGGACATTCTCGATCGGGATCAAGAGACAGACGGTGAGGCGAGTGACGACGAGGCCATCGGCGAATTCGATGAGAGCGACGTTGGAGACATGAGCGACGACCACGGCTCATCAACACCAAGCGTCAACACCCCAGTAGTATCCTTAGACTCGGACGACACCGCGTTCTCACAGGACATACTGGACCCGGAAGACCTGCCTGCCTTCGGTAAGTCATAATACTAGAATCCCAGTCTTTCGCGTGCAGAATGCATGATCACTAACAGAGAGGACTTAGGCGACGACCTAGACACCACCAAATGGACGAAGCTCGCACTCTGGCAAGAAGGCGGATACGAAGGCATGCTGAAAGTACTTCTGAGCGATGAGATCGCGGCTCATTGTCACGACTCTGCTACAGCATCAAACACGGATGAGCAGTGCATCCTCAGTCCGGCGCGCATGATGGTCGCTTCTATGGATAAGGATATTCTCAAGACTGTGATACGCGGTAATCTGGCTCTCCAAGCGAATAGCGACAGTGTCATACAGGCGCGCTTGGATGAGTTGTACGTCGAGGCCAAAGACAAACCGTCGATCTACTACCAGCTCTTCGTCGACGACAACGGCCGATCCCCTACGCCAAACGAACTCGGCACCATTCTAAATACCATGGAAGAATACGTCAACGCAACGAACCACACTCTCGCGAACGAGATCGACAACGTCAAGACACCGCACATCGATCTGCTCAAAAGCCAGAGTGGCTTTAGGAAGTACACATGGACCAGCTCAGGAACAAAGAAAGACAGCACATACCGGGAGTTCCAGTCCGCGGCCAAGCTCAAGGAAATCACCCGCCTGATCGAGAAAGTACGAGCGCGACTGAGCGGCTTACCACCTCAGCACCAAAACAAGCCGTTAAAGCACCCACTCGTCGAAGTCGGCTATTCAGCTCGCTCCCAAGCCCGCCTCAAGAAACACGCCAACCACTCTCGCTCCGTCCCCGCCATGAACCTCGCCGAAGCAATCGCTGCCGTACTCTTCGCAAACAACACTCTTCCCAAGCTATACAAAATGACCCAGTACATCATCTACATCAGCCACACCGCGTCCCACGCCTCACTTTTCGAGATCCTACTGACTAGGTTGGCCGAAGGCTACACAGGAAACGGAGGAGGATTCAGCCGCTACCCTGCGAGCCGAAGCGCCGAGTCTGCGCTCAGGACTTCGGAGCAGGCATAGGATAATTGTGCTCGGTATGCGATTGAGCGGTCGCCGCTGAGGAAAAACCTAAAAAGCGATTGCGAGAGGTTGAAGAAGAAACTTGCGGATGCGAGGGAAAGGAAGTCGAGTCTGCTCATGAAGTCCGCCAACCATGCGTTGCTCGCGAGGGTGAGGGAAGGGAATGAGAGGAGGAAAGCTGGGCGGGAGGAAGCGGGTCCAGAGGTACATCAGAAGGTGTTGGATATCATTGCGGAGTTTAGGGGACGACATCCTGTTTCGGAGGACTAGGCAAGTCGCTGAAGATGCGAGTTTGTTTGAGGATGCGAGAAGACTTGGTGGTGGAGATGACAACTTATAAGATAAGGCGATGAGTTCGGCCTTCATTGATTGACATCATGATAGAGTGACAGTCTCGCAGTCTAGATGAACATAAGAAGAACGAATTTGATATATCATCATGAGTAACGCGAGTGAAGTGAATGAAGAGGAGATATTCTTGCATTGGTATTGAGTACATCTAGTCGTCTCGTTGTCCAAGTTCCTTCCTTGTCCCACCTATTTCCATCCCTTCCACCCCTCCTATTTACCCTACTATACCATACACCTCATGTACATCCGACATATATTTTGTTCCCTTGAGCCATCCGCCCTGGTCTATCTAGATATACAGTGAGCGCGTTTTGGTGTCGTCGGTATGCGTAAAGTACATGCCCATCCATCTCACCTCCCCCAGTTGTTGTCCAACCAACCCAAAAACTCCAAAGAATGCAAGCCGAAGCCATACCAAAAAGCCAGATTCCCATGAATCAAAAGAGAAAGCGCATCAGATTCGTAAAAGCTGCTGCTAAGATGTTCTGCAGGGATGATACAGATCGTTATCGCGCAAACAACAGCGCTTTTTGTGGTATGTATACTTTTGGCGTAGCTTCGTAACAATATCAGACAACGTCAAAAACATGACACAGCAAGTTTAACGCTTCCTGGGGTTCGTCGGCTTCTTCTTCGACGGTGTCTTCTGCGCGTCACCCTCAATGTACTTGAGGAGGTCCTCGATCTTGCGCTGGTCGACGCGACCACTTCCAGTGCGCTGGCTACCGGCGGCGGCAGCCGCATCACTAGCGGAGGGTGTGGCGGCGGCCGGGCGCAGGGGGTTGCGACCGGGCAGCTGCATGCGGCGGATACGCGTCTTGGCGAGGTCGTTGAGCTGCTTGGCTTGAGAGACAGCGCTGTGGGTGAGCTGTTCAAGCCAGCTCTCTGCCTCCTTGGTGTTGCGGTCCTCTGCTCCGAGCACCTCCTTGAAGATGTTGTAGGACTCGCGCATGCGGTTAACACCACCACGCATGTCCTTGTCGAGAGCGAGGGCCTGGGCGGTCTGGAACAGCAGAGTCGCTGTGTTGATTGAGTTCTTGCCGCAGACCTCCTCGCAGACGGCGAGCGAAGCCTCGAACCAGAGTCGCGACTCGTGGTACATCTTTGCGGCCTGCAGCATGACGGCGGCGTTGTTGAGGGTTGTGATCGAGTCGGGATGGTCGGGGCCGTAGAGGATCTTCCACAGCTCGAGCGCGTGACGGACGTAGATCAGAGCGGCTGTGGTGTTACCCGAACCGTGCTCGAACAGACCGACGTTGAGGTAGGCAAGCACAGTCTCCGAGTGATCGACACCGAGAGTGCGCTCCGACACGATGATGGCCTTGTGTGCAAGCTCAAGAGCAGAGACCTTGTCGTCAAGGCTGTAGAGCAGGTTCGACAGGGTGTGGTAAGCCTTGGCTACCTCAGGGTGCAGCACGCCATAGATCTGCTCGTGTAGCTGGAGAGACTCCAGGAGCAGTTCTTGGCCAAGCTCCTTCTGGTCCTGGGCAATGGACATGCGGCCAGCCTCAAGTGCCTCCTCAGCCAACAAGCTCTTTGGTGAAGCCTCCTTGATGACAGGTACGATGTTCAGGATGTCGTCCGCGTGGAAGGTTTGTGGAGCAAGAGGGACAGTAGGGCTAGCTGTGCGGGCTGGCGGGGTGCTGATGGACTTGTTCTTCTTCTTCTTGGAAGATGTGGAGTGACCGTTAGTCTGCGGCGCAGCGGGCTTCTCAGCCGGTTGGCTGGCGGCAAAGGCCTCCTTGGTGAAGGCGTACGACTTGCACTCCAGCTGGAGACCAAGCTTGAGGGAGACCTCACGGAGCATCTGCATCTCCTTTCCAGACTCGATCCACGACTGACCGAGGTCGTAGCGGAATCGTAGGGCAACCTGAGCAACAACCTCTTTCTTGAGGGCCTCAGGTGTGAGCTTCTCGAAGCTGAAGTCGTCTTCGGGGTACATCTTCTTGAGGCTGCTATCACACTCTGCCACAGGCTTAGCGCTAACGTCAGCGCCGAGCAAGCAGTTGAGGAGGTGGGCGGCTGCGGGTGCTGCGAAAGGCGCGGAGACGTTGCGCAGCTTAGAGTTGGCAAAGTGCTTGAAACCACGTGCGATCATCTCCTGGATGATGAGACGCTTCAAGGCCTGGAGCCTTGGGTCAGGCTTGTCAGCCAGCTCAGCAAGCTTTCCAAGGTAGCGCATGTTCACACCCCGCTTGTGCAGAAGGTTGCTCAGGGACTGGCCGTCCATTGGGAAACCGACTTCGCCCTCCTTGAGCTCCTGGACCATGCGAGGAATAACCTCCGAAGTGAGGTGCTCGCAAGCAGCGCGGACCTCAGCCTCGTCCTGAGCCCATTCCTTCTTGTCCTCCTCTGATTGCGGGTTCTGGCCCGAGAAGACATCAGGGTTGAGCGCGAAGGCGAATCCGGAGATGTCGACACGCTCCTGCTCAGGGTCTTCGGCCTCAGGCTTCTTCTCCTCGGTCTTCTTCTTGGCAACCTTGGCAGCCTTCTCCGCGGCCTTCCTCTCCGCCTTGGAAATCTTCTTGGCCTTGGGCATCTTCTCCTTCTCTTCATCAGAGTCCTCCTCTTCCGAAGAAGACTCCTCCTCAGATGACTCCTCTTCCGAAGATTCCTCTTCAGATGAGCTCTCTTCAGCCTTGGCCTCCTTCGCAGG